GTATCACGTAACTTCCTGTGTGAAATTTGCCGAGAGGATCCTCACAGATCCGGACCACCCATTGTATGCAGAACTGACACTTTGTCATTACCATCATTCAACACGCTCCCAATTTCGTCAAATTTCATCTCGAATTAATGCATACCGCAATTCACCTATACCGTATCTTGCTCGTCTACTCACAAACAAAGAGCGAACAATGAGTGAACTTTGTCTTAACCTTGGATTATGAATGTCTCCATGCCTGCGAAAACTTTCCTCCCCGTTGATTATGTACATTGTAACGGTTAGCGTGCATACTTTTTAACTGAAATGTGAGCTCCAGTGCTTGTAAAAGTTATACACAATACAATACAATAAACATGGTGTGGCTGCGTTTTTTTCTGAGAAGTATTTTTAGTACTTTAATACTGTTTAATACAATGGTTGTTTGTGTGTATGTTTACTAAGCTGACTTTATTCTCACCAGGATTGGGACGAAAAACAAAAAGCGGCCGAGCATGAGTAGCGTCAGTTTTAAACGAACAATTCAATCAACGTTTAATTTTCTTCATCAGTATGAAGAGTAGAAATAAATAAGGGATTGATTAAATGAGCTACACTTTTCGTTATGGCAGATTTCATGTTAAATGACGAATCGAGCGATTACAAATAAAGGCATTTGACAAGTTCCGTGTGCCAGTAATATATATATATCTGGGGGGGGGAGGTCAAACAGTTATAGTGGATAGCAAGAATAATATTTTGTTTGTTTCATTGTACACTTTCCGGTATTTTTTGTGCTATCAATCGTATATAAAACTGATATTGTCTCATCAAATTACCTAAATGTGACAAAACAAATAGATGTCAAAAGGAAACATCAGGTGGAAATCGATATATATGAAAAATATCCCATGATCAATAATCCATGGTGTCCAATCCCATGCGAAATCTTTTTTATCATGTGCGAAGAGGATTTATATACCTCATTAATTAATACCTGTGAAGTAACTTACGTATATGATAGTGTTCAACAAATTGATCCGATTTGAACAGCTTGTGAACATATTAAATTTTTACTAGTCTGAAGAGTGTAATCAATTGGACGTGTCTGATAAACCGCAGGTAGAAAGTAGTGGAATGGCATTGATTATCAATAGTTTGAATAAAAAGGATTATTGTCGGCCAGTGGTATTTGACAATGTCGTATGCTTTGGTATACGAAGGAATAAAAGTGAGATGAACCCAAATGTTTACTGTTCTGTAGCATTGAATATTTGCGAAGGAATCCGCAAGATGCAATCGATGCACACCTATGTTCATGAAGGAATTATTTTGCTATGATTTGATTGTAGTTAGATTATTCACCAGAGCAGACAGACTTATCGTTCCATGCGTGTAATCCTAAAAGGAATTATGAATAAACTCATCAGTAATAGAAAGTATACACAATGTTGCAGGTGATAAGACTCAAAGAGGAATACGTGGAACACGAGTTTGTAGATTCATTAAATGAAAGTAATCTGCATAGAATACGTTAACCGTTGAACAGAACTGTTGTCATTGACAACCTCTTCAAAGGCGTCATCCAAAATGTGGATCATATACAACTGACAGAGGAACCCAGTTGATCGATCCATGTTCAACATGCTGACCTAGAAATGATAGGGTAGTAGTGACCAAATTTCTGATGTTTGGGGCAGCAGATAGCACACAGCTGCCATGCGAATGGTGACCGCGATTTCGGTCCTAGTTGAAGAAGTTCCATATTTTTTTGTATGTAACACAGACCAAAGCAAACATAAACCGGTGGTTTATAACACCATATACATGTTTCCGTGATCATAATATGAGACTCATTTGATCATTGAAAGTTTCTTTTTCAAGTCTACCAAACCGGTTGGTTCACCCATGTACCTGATCCTACTACTGGCGTGACTCAGCTGTCATACAACCTGATTGAGGTGGGCTAGATTGCGTCAGCGATGGGATCGATAGCAAACCGTTCAACCCTGGTGGTCTGTGAACGGGATCTCTGTCGTACTTGTCAAATAGTGAAGCTGAAGAATATATTAAAGTGATTATTGAACGGTCAGACACATTCTCAATAAGAATAACACAGTTCTGGTCGATTGCTGTCAGATGAACTATTACCAAGTATGGGGATCCTGTATGATTCCATAAAATGGGTTGAAAAGCATAGTTTGGTGTTCAGAGCTCAAAATATGTCCCCATTTTAGGGATGGAAAAATAATTTTCCGGTCAAAATGTGCATAAAAATGCGATGTAACAAGCAAATCAATTATTTTTGCCACGCGTTTAAATCTGGTCAGTAAAGCAACAATTGAAATGAACATGTAATATCTAATAAAAACTGTTGATTTTTCATTCAGAATCAGAAAACAGAAAATTATAGGTCTAACGAATTATAATCTACACATTTGATCTCAACTTTTAGTGAACAGTTACAATCACACGGATTCCAGACATATTGAGCGTTCTACCCGCCTCATCATCAGTAGCGAGGATAAGCACTTATTCATCAGGAAAAAGGAAGAATATAGTATTTGACTTGACTTAGAAAAATAAAACATTTCAATCCATTCATTGCCAGTTTTGAGGTCTAGTCTCCGATTTTACGTATGGTTTTTTTCATTACCACAAATATATTTACATGGCAGTTCAAGTCTCTTATTGCTGTGTTTAACGAGATGAAGATAAACGTTGGGAAATTTTACAGAAAAAATATAATTTTTTTAGACGGAAAGATGTGCCTGATGATTTCGTTGTTGATTTCTGTTAAAAGCGGTTTCACTTAAATCGTTTGTGGGTGCCATGGAAAATTAGAACCAGGAGTTTATTTTGCTATTCGTGTTGACGTAAACCAAACCAGCTTCTAGTTGAAGGAAAAACGGATTTTTTTCAAATTATGTTTGTTTGGTGTCTGGAAATCAGAGTGGTTATCCAGTTTATAATACGTGCCACATTTGTACTCACATTGTTTTCCGTTCTTTTCCTCAAAGAATCAGAGAGAGGGACAGAACGATTATTTTTAGGAGCGAGCTATTTTTTTCAAGTGGTGGAAAGTGCATGTCAAACTGTTTAGACGTTCTTCCGATTTTTCGATGCAGGAGGCCAAATTGGATCTATACATCAGACTGCTATTTCGGATGACTGTCTGCCAGTGTCAGAATACCTAATAGTGCGGGATCGCTTGCGTCTAATCGCTTGAATGAGTCCTATGGGGACACGTACCAATAACTCGATAGACAAAACCGAGCTACGAAGGGTTTTCCCAAAATTGTTCATAAGCTTTCAAATCCCCTGAGAGATTTTCCTTATCCCTGACATCGTTTGGTTTTTGGGTGATAGGGATGCGCTCGACTAAGCGATCTAATGGATGGTTATATACTGTCAACTAATGTGAGTCAAAATCATCGAGCACCACGCTTGATGCGGTTGTTTTTCCCTTTTTGAGTGTAACGAGAGAATCGCATCACAAAACTAGAGACAAATTAAAACATCAAAAGCAGTCTATGCAGTATAAAAACTGTGCGTGATACTGAGATCGATAAAGCGCAGTTGTAGTGATAGTACAAGTTATTTTTCTGCCCGGTAGTACGTCTGGTTTGTGCACGTTGATCGTGATTACCCGTGAAATTATCACTGTTACCACACCATTAGTTTGATCAAAGAGGTATTCGACACCACATAAAGGAAAATTATCAAGCAGAATAGAGGGAAATTGTAAGACATGAGACGGTCTCTACTAGGGATAGCGTGAGAATAAAATTGAGGAAACAAGAACAGAATAATACAAATTTGCCTGAATCATCGTTCTATTCTTGTGATCTTTCACGTTCTGGACTCAAAAAGAAGTCATGTTATTTGTGATGAGGAATTAGAGGTAATCAAGGTACTACTGTAGGGATAGTGGCGCATGTTCATCTGGTCACTTTTTACACGCGTCTTGTCAACCCACAAATGAAAGAAATGCACAGAGCGATTACGTAGAGCAGGTGTCCTTCGCCTTCCAGGTTGGGGTCCAAAAGACTGTAACCGCATGGTTGAAGACAATGAAGATCATGGCTACGAACCGACAGCAATGGCGATCTTTTTGTCACTTTTTATCAGACCAGAACGCTTGAAATAGTATGTTTACACAGTTGGATTGTAATCTGTGTTTTTTATTTTTTATTTTCAGTTGGTACAATCATTAAACATGTATTATAGTGCGCCGGGTTTTGTTGTTATCTTTTTCCTGCCCATTTCGATGGACAAATGGAGAAAGACAGGAAAGGTTGAAAGTAGGATTAAAGAGAAAATTTAGATTTCAGTGGATTATGGTTGCAGAAAAATTGACAAGATGCTTTAACTTCACTGTTTGCGACAATCAGCCATATCACTCAGTGTCGCTAACCATCGGCTACGATCATCCCGAGGTCCCCGTGCAGGGAGCCTAACGGGACCTATGTGACCCAGACTCCCGGCTAGAGTTTTCATACCCTTTCATACCCAAGTTTTAGCTTGACCACCCTTGGCTTTCTTCCATTCTGTTTTGAATATCGAGTTCACTTTCTTTTCCGTCCCTAAAAGTAAGTCCAATCCCTATCCTCACTACACATTCTCACTTACCTTGTATGCAATATGAATTTGGCAGAGAGCAGTTAACTGCGCTTCACTCTATTGTGCTTTACAATGATGCTGATGACCCAGTTGTGTAGGGCTCCCAGATTACAGTTTTGTTTAACCCCTTATTTGATTGTTCACCAAAATGTATGTGATATAATATGATCATTGATTAAGCAAGCTGGATTTTGTGCTAGATAACCAAATAAACTTAAAGAATTTTCTTCTTCCATTTTTACGAAGTAACTCAGTGATGAGGTTTAGGCAATTGAAATCGGAAACTGACTTGAGTCAGTTCGAAATGTCAACCAACTCCTAAAGTAGAGTTTTCATTCGGAAATGAACAAACTGAATGAGTAATTCAAAAGTAAAACTAGGTGATTGTTCATTTACATACCGGACAGTATGTTTCGCATATAGTCTTGAATGTGATGCATGCGATGACTGATGGTCCGCAACAGTTGAATCCATAATTTCCATCGATTTTGCACAGCCCGCAAATCCACCAGTATACCTTGATGTTCAGCAATCCACGTGCGGCGTTCTTCTGCATGATCGAAAAATGCGTTCAATTTGATAGCCAGATCGTTAGCTGCTATTTCCATATCCGCCGGTGGTAGCTGGAACCCTTCTTCAGAACGTCTGGAACTTTGTCCTCTAGGAGAATCTAGTGACGTCTGATTACCTAGTTCTTCGTCTTCCGCATCGCCCACATCGGACTTTTCCCCGACTGCATCGTTCAAACCGGAAGCTGATCCTGCAGCTCGATCTGATGCAGCAATCTGATTGGTAAAATCCTGCATACCGCGCATCATGAGTTCTTTTCTGGAAGAAAGAAGTTGTTTGCTTCTGTAGATGATGTGGACCAATATATTTCGCTGTAATAACATGCTAAGTGAACGTGTCATTGACAGGAGAAAGAAAAACCCACTGCTTTTATTGAACTGAACTGACTCTGCGTTTTCTGTTGGAACAATCATTTTTGGGATTATTCGGACAGTTTTATTCTACATGCACTTTATTTGTGTAGAACACAGCCTACTTTCAAACATGAGACCTCTATCACTTGGTCAACGAAGGTGTTCCGTGCATCACTGGAACCAAATAGAAACGTTGTGCAAGGTGCCAATTTACTTGTGTCCGTTATCATCCTATGGACTGTGCGTGCGACAATACATGGTCAAATAGAGTGATGCGTGCGACCGGACAGGTCTATCCAATGTGGGTTGGGTGCCGTGTGCGGAAACATATCAGTCACGCATGGCATCAATTATCTCCTACCGAGATATCTTATCTTTCTATTTCCGCACTATCAGATTCTGCTTTGTAGTGCAAATTAAAGTGGACAAGTAAATTGTTCAAGCTATGCATCCTCGTAAGTTAGGTATATTGAGATACAATTGTTCTGGAAGATACTTCACGCAGTACAATTGTAGAGTGAAACAAAACGTGAGTGAAAATAGGAGATGGCTGAGCATTTATGTACTCACGTACAAAATCCTTGAGTGTTTAGAGAACTTCCCATTGTAGCCGCTACTACTATTAATATTACTGCTACATTGGCAATAATACAGAAATGATTAGAAAAGTAACGGTACTGACAGTCGACTGTTACACCTCATCTACACAC